CAATACAATAGAATTTAAAAATAATCATTCAACTTAGAAAACTGACAAAAACAAAATACAAAAATTATATTACTATAAAACATAAAATTAGTTACCCACAAAGGAAAAAGTAATTACAAAAACATGAATTTAAAAGAATTGATCAGTGTAACTGTGTAATAAAAATTCATATAATTACAATAAAACTGACCTTTCACAATATCATCTATTTTAATATTAACTAAACCACAATGAAAAAAGTACCTATATTCAACAATTCAACTTTTAAATAATACAATATATAAGACAGTCAATATTTTAATTTTAAAAAAATAGCAATAAAATAGATTTTACAAATAATCATTAAATCAAGAAAACTATTAAATACAAAAGTTATATTACTATGAAACATAAAATTAGTTACCCACAGAGGAAAAAGTAATAGCAAAAACATGCATTGATCAGTGTAACTTGTAATAAAAATTCATATAATTACAATAAAACTGACCTTTCACAAAAAAAAATTGCTAATATTACACAGTTTTGATATTACCAAATAATAGAATATTGTAAAATTACAGAAGAACAAGCAACAGGCAGGAAAATTTGGAGGTCTGCTTCATATCTTACAAATGGTGATTTATCAGTAGGGAAAAAGAAATATTGGTTTACTCAAACAAAAGTTAAGTCAAATCTGTCAATAAGTCCACATCTGTCTACCTACAAGTGTTAAAAGACAAATTAAAAAAAAATAATTGCTATTTATTTTAATGCTTTAAATGCTATTTATCAGTAGGGAAAAATAAATATTGGTTTACTCAAACAAAGGATAAGTCAAATCTGTCCATAAGTCCACATCTGTCTACCTACAAGTGTTAAAAGAAGACAAATTAAAAAGAGAAAGAAAAAATATTTATAAATGTAAGAGATTCCAAGTATAAATCCTATTTTGAATATCTTTAAATAATGAATAAATGCATACCAGTTGAAACGCTTGTTAATCAAAATTGGGAACATGTGGTCAAAGTACATCTTCGTTAACTTTTCAAACATCGCCTTTGCAAAATGCTCATCATATTTCACATGAATAACGTGGCAGCTGTTAGCGGCCTTGGAATAAATTGCCAAATCACAAGTCTTGGCACCTGAACAGAGGAAGGTAACACAAATATTACTTAAACTGTTAGCATAAATGAAGTCCATATCTAATGTGCATCATTTTCATGTATATATA